AAGAAGCAATCAGTTTACTGTTGGACAATCGAGGTAAGGCAACAGGAAATAACTTCTAGCCAATATTGAACCAATGGCAAATCAATGCCTCTTAGATCGCTGTGTAACATTATTCCTGTAGTCTTAAACAAAACCTGTGCATTACAGCGGAAGCATGTGTTTGGTAGAGCAAAAGTGGAATAACTATCATACATATAACGGATGAAACTAGACTTAGCTTTGAGAAAATAAGGACATTTTTGGATGGGGAGATGTAGGTCGGATCAACCCTTTATGAAAAAACAGCATTTGACACATAAATTGATGTCCTAGTCCAGGATTATGTAACAGTTAAAGCAAGGTCTGATCACTTAACGACTAAAACCAAAACCAAAAAAACACAAAAAACTAAAAGGGGAATGTGAAGAAGAGAAAGAAAGAAGAAAGCAACGTGTTACCAGGATGGTCAAATTTTGTGTTTTGGGTGCTCTGTCATTACAATTGAAAACTGGCAAGTAGTTTTTATAAATATGAGATGGTTGTTTTTCAAACCATGATTATGCTCCAAGTTTAGTGTACATACCCATCACAATGTCATTTCAAGTCATAGATTGACTTTCAGCTAACAAAAGAATGGTAACATTCCTTCCAATTACAGATGAGAACATATTCCAACCTTCAGTTTGATCTTTGTTTCAACAAAGCACCTAAACTGTATTTAAAGACAAACAAGACAATCAAGTTATTTGATTACATGAATCACCTGTGGATTTGAACACATCAAAGATACAAGTAATTATGATAAAGAACCATTTGCCTTCCTACCTGAATGTTGCAGCATATTGGCAACTGAATGGACACTAAAACTCTCTCTCGCGCTCTCTGAGTTGACAATTATGTCCACATAGACAGAAGACAGCAACGCAGAAAGAGAGGGAAGGGGCTTCTAACCTAGCAAACAATTGATTCTGCATCATGTTAAATCCCAATATCCAAGAGTAGAGAAAGAATGCAATTGAAATAATTCATGCATGGCACAATTAGTACTTTTAACTTCAATTCCATGCACAAGTTTGAGCGAGCAAAATACTCTCCCATTGAACATCATTCAGATTTTACACAATAACATTAATCTTGAAACAATTATAACTTCACGAAACGAAAGAACGATGTGATCCAAAAAAATAGTTGAATGGATATGCTAATTGCATGACTTAAAATAAAAATCAAGTTCAATATTGCCAACGATTTATCAAGAATAAAAGAGGTAATCAAGTTGACTCAAGTACACACAACACAACTACGAGGAAAAATCTGACTAAACAAAGTTGATTGGGCATTGAACAAAGATGTCATATAACAAAATAAGAACAAGTAAAACACAATGTAGATAAACAGAAAAATATGAGAGAGACAGAGAGAAAGGGAACTTACAAAATTATGAGAGAGAGAGAGAGAGAGAACTTACAGAATTGAAAGCCCAAAGAAATTCATGGAAGAGAAGGCTACTAACTAACCGTGAAATCATGAGAAGCCTAATAACTTCGAGAGTCCTGATTTCTTGTATTTTGTTCTCTCCAGCTATCTCAAAACTTCTATCTGTGGTGGTTATTAACATATCTAGGCTTTGATTCACAACATATTGAAGTATCTACAGAAGCTGACCAAGAGTTAAAGAAATTAAACCAGACAATCAAAATCAAACAAGACAATCTGAACAAGTCGCGGTGTTAAATCTTTTTTCTCATCGACAATTTGCCATTCCCTCTTATCAATTAACTGCAATTCTTATATTGGGAAGGAGAGTAAGTTCTACTGAAGGGTTGTAGTTGTTTGTTATCAGAAACAAGATTCTCAATTCATGAGAAAGAAAAAAGTACAAAATGTTGAATAAGACATCTACCAAATGGAAAGGGAAAAAAGATAATGCAATGAAGGTCTTATGATTACAGATGACATTCCAATTCTGTTGTAATAACGATTAACGAGAGAGGACATCAGAAATTCCTTTGCTAGAAGAAGTGAAGATTTATGGCCCCTAGTCCAACTACCACACATAAATCCATCCTGAATTCATCATGTAGACGCAGAAGTATATGGTAATTGGTAAGTCAGCAGACTCGGCACAATTTATGTAACTACCTGCATGAATCATCTGGTTGATGGCATAACAGAAAGTAGATTTGGCTATAACCTTTTCCACGTTGCTACTACTACTCAAGTCAGAGTACTCCTCTAAGAAGTCTATCACCATATGAAAACCAACATTCCAAAACAGAAAATTAAACTTACTGAAAATTTTCAGCAATATATGGACAAACATCCAACACAAGAATCAACATAATTGATTACAGATGGGGAGTTACCAGAACCTGAAAAGAGGTGAATGTGATCAATACTTGTCAATGCAGCCAGATTTGATGTTGTGGAAATGATCATACGCTGACAATAAATCCTTCTGTTTTATTTCCACCATATAAGATGGGACCTTGTAGATTTCAAATTCTCCACCATTGTATCTATCCACTCTTGGAGGGATAATTCTACCGAAATGAATCTAGAGCAAAGATGAAGATTAATCACAATCAAAACAGAATACCAGAATCAAGGGAATCATGAAATCTAAACAGATTTTACCTAGGATTTTTGCCATATTGGTAACCTCCTAGAATTTATTTGCACCTCAACATTTGACAGATACAAGTGGGATCTCTCAGGGAGCTTTACTGAATCAGATTTATCTCCAGAAACTTTGTTCTCTCCAGCTTCTTGAGCATCAAAAGTAGTCTCTGAAAAACATTCCTTTCTCTCTCTCTAGACAATCTGATCTTCTACACACATCCCACCATTGAACAGGTTCAACTTTCACCCTTACTCCTCATCTTGCCAATGTACATATGAGCCAGACTGAGTTGCTAGATCACTCTCATTTAGCTCTGCCTCAATTGATAGCAGAAGCTCAGGTTTAATCAAATAGCCTGATGGAGTATAAACTAACAAATGCTCCAAGGAATTAACCTCCAAGTGAACATCCTGCAAGCCACAAGATACGGAACTGTGAAAAATCAGCTGCACCAGCACAAGATGGCAGATTAACCTTTCCTTCTACGGAAGTGGCAGTATTGCTAACTGAATAAGCAGTCCCAAGGCATTATTCTTTATCCGGCTTACCACATAAAAGGTAACAGGGTGCCGAGGTGAAGAAGATTGCTGGTTTAGGATGAAAGATGAAGTAGACTGCCATGGTAGAGATACAATGGGATACGGGAATAGACATTTGCCAAGAGAAACAAGAGTTTGAAAGCTGGCATTGTCACCAAAGGGGGATAGAGCAAAAAAGTGGCAAGTCCCTTTGGATAGTATAATAGCAATCCACTGATAGTAATGACAGAAGCCAAAGTCTTGGATGATCTGCCAAATAAAACTCAGTAATCCGAACAATATTGCACAAACTTAGACCATTTGCAAAGGAAGATAAGAAAATAATGAATACTGAGAAAAGGATGTATACTAACAGCTGTTGTCATTCCACAATAGAAATTATAAAGATGCACATGAGAAGAGCACAGTCATAGGTTTGAGTGCCTGCATATTATGCATCCAAGATGGTATGATCCAGAAAATATTTATGCTATTTCCATGCACTGAAGCAGGCACAGAAGAGTGCCACTTTGATCGAAACATAATGCTGATATCTGAGTGGTATTACAGCTCTAAATTGTGATATTACAGCTCCAGAATCAACAACCTTAACAAAAATATGCATTCAACCATCATAACAAGAAAAACATAACATCTAAAAAGACAAAGATATAGTGTTTTTTCAGCTGAGGCATGAAAATCTATGTATACATCTACTACTTTTCAACCTTATAACTGTCAACCATAAATTTCACTTCTTTTTTCTTGTTAAATTTTGACTTCATTCAATCAACAATTAAACATAAACCCTTTGTTTGTTTCAATAGACGCCAAATAAGGAAATGACTTTTAGCCTCCGCCATTGGTATTTCCAGCATATTACCGTGAATAAATGCTAATCACCCTGTATTAAAGACTTGCACAACATGAAATATAAACTCAACATAAAAAGGTTAAAGGTGCCATCCATCTTACAAGAAGGAAGTTATTTTTATGCATGTAGCAAGGCAAAGCAATCATGGCATTCTAACTCCATTAAAAATCAAATTTTCCAAAAATAAAACAAGTACAATAAAAACATCTAGGCAGAACTTTTGATAACAATTTATAAGCATTGTAAAATTACCTGCGTTTATCATAGGTTCAATGGGAAAGCTCTGCCCAGCCTTCATAACACCAACAACTTTATTTCCTGATAAGGTTAAGGTCATACAAAGAGGACGAAGGAAAAATACAGAGTGGATAAGAAGATATTGAAATTGTAATATCACGAAATATGAGTCAGTTCACCCTATACTTTGCATTCCTCATTTTGTTCATAGACAGATTTTTAATGCAAATGAATATTCAAATGGAAAAACTGCTTCTTTAAGGATACTTGCATAATGAGGAATGGTTGGTACGCAATGGAAGAGTTCTCCGATACCATGACCACGATAAGACTTCACTTATCTACAGAAGACAAGGAAAGAAAGAAGGGTTAAGAACCTGTCATCTTCCCATTTGGAATAAAGAATAAGAGAAACAACCAATACCCAAGATTCCAGGTTACCATAGAGAACCCCGACATTGAAGGATGTCGAGTAATGACTTCCCCAATTTCCTAAAATCTACCCTCAAGTTTAATGAAAAAGACAATGCATTATGTCAGAATGAAAGAATCTGAATGCCTTAGTTTAGGAAACATTGCAACATACAAGGAAATTAGTTGGAAGTAATGAAAGTCTAAACAGAAATAAAAGAAAATGTGCAAATTTATATTAGAACTTCACGCTTTATTATTCAAGAATCGAGAACAGGATGAGAATTCTTTCCAACAGGTTTGAGATACATATTCTCAACTATAAAAATACGCTAATACTGCCGAGATTGATATGGGTCATCCAAAACTTTAGGTAGTTAGGTTTTTCACACAGCCATCAAGTTCACTTTGGTGATAAGCGTGGTCCATCCTAGTTTTCTCCAAGTCTTCACCTTCAAGATAGGTAATCAAGGAATAAACCTTGGTTCTTGGGGAATTTTCACAAAATTCCAGACTGTGTTACCAACATTGCATAATTTATATCCAAGGGAAGCTTTTCCATGGTTTTGGATTGACTATCACAAGGAGACTATGTGCTTGACATATTAGTCCTTTGGTGAGACTCGTGTTTTTCCTTGGAAACAGAGTTCTCCTGAGTGTCAATAGCAAAAATAAAGATTTAAATCCGGTACGAGAGGAATTCTTAATTTGATGCAACTTTGGAGGTAATTGTTATTTTTTCATTATTCGTGTCTTTGTTGAAGACTTCTTCTCAACTCTACTTTTGTTTTAGTGCATATCCAAGAGATCCTAGATTAGACAATGATGAAAACTATGCATGCAACTTATAAGAAGACAAATGCACTTCACGCTAATTTGATTTCAAAAGGAAAATATTAATGAGTAACTTATGCGGCAAGTGTCTCTCATTCTCTCAATTTGATCCCAAGTTTTCACCTTCAAAAGACACGTGAATTTGAAAAGAAACATAAATAAAAATATTGAAACGAAAAAATACTTCGAAGATGAACATGTTCTCATGCAATAGTTAGGAATTCTTGACAATATCGAGCTGGAACAACCTGTTGTTCGTGAATACCCTGATTCAAGGCCAAAGAATTTGTTGCCGCTACTATAGTATTCATTTCTACGGGGTGATAAATAAAGCACCCGTATTGAGGTCATATCCATCTATCCAATGCCAAAATTATCCACTTTTATATCAATGGAAAAATTATCATTCCTTTCTGATCAAAGGTAACCTCAACAACATGTTGCAGATTACTAATGGACTCTATATCCAAGATTCCCTAAAAGGTTAAACACATAAAGAAAATACTGTTACAAGAAGAAAAGACATCAGAAAATATAGAAGAAACTTCAATAGAAACAAGGAAGGTATGGACACAGTAGTATGAAACATCTACGAAAATGGAATATTAAAATTAGTTGTCCACCCAATAGCATAAGTCGAGTATACCCATGATGATTGACAATTGAGTGCATAACCACAAACTAAAGTGAACATATGTACCAGACACGAGCTGCTTATAGACCAACGTCAAAACAAGAAGCACATAAGCTGGGCCTTCACATCCAAACAGAAAGGGGTTAGTAACTCACATCAACTGCCCAGTTAGGTTGTTCAATATTGATCATTTATTGTACACTTTTTTGATATAGGATACGGCCTCAGTGTCCTGTGCAAGAATAAAAAGCAGTTAGCATTTAAAGACAATATATATAGCTGAAGCTAAGTAATAAGCATAGAAGATTAGTGCATTTAAGAAAACACACATCCAGACTTTGAGTCAATTGTTGGTCTCATGGACCATATAAAAATGAAGAAGAAAACAAAAAATACCAATCAGGCACGTAAAAAAATTATCATCGGCAAGCAGAGAAAGTTACTGCTCAATAAACATCAGGATCAAAATGTTAAAGCCAGAGGGATTTATTAGCATCTCTGAGTTGCCAATTATTTCTGCATAGACAGAAGACAGCAACTCAGAAAGAGAGGGAAGGGACTGCTAAGCTGCAAAAAATTGATTCTGCATCATGTTAAATCCCAATATCCAAGAGTAGAGAAATAATGCAATTGAAATAATTCATGCATCATCTTATGTTAAAAAAAACTAATTCATGCATATATGTTTCATGCATCATCTTATGTAAAAAGAAACTAATTCATGCATGCCACAATTAGAACTTTGAACTTTAATTCCATGCACAAGTTTGAGCGAGCAAAACACTCTCCTATTGAACAGCATTAAACAACTATAACTTCAAGAAACGAAAGAACGACGTGACCCAAAAAAATAGTTGACTGGATGTGATAATTGAATGACTTAAAATAAAGATACGTTGGTGACCAAAAAAAAAATAGAGATCGGTTGAGTTCAATATTGCTGACGATTTATCAAGAACAAAAGAGGTAATCAAGTTGACTCAAGTACACACAACTACGAGGAACAATCTGACTAAACAAAGTTGATTGAGCATTGAACAAAGATGTCATATAACAAAATAAGAACAAGTAAAACACCAAGTAGATAAACAGAAAAATATGAGAGAGACAAAGAAAGGGAACTTACAAAATTATGTGTGAGAGAGAACTTACAGAACTGAAAGCCCAAAGAAATTCACGGAAGAGAAGGCTACTAACTAACCGTGAAAATTATGAGAAGCTTACTCACTATGAGAGTCCTGATTTCTTGTATTTTGTTCTCTCCTGCTATCTCAAAACTTCTATCGGTGGTGGTTATTAACATCTCAAGGCTTTGATACACTGCATCTTGAAGTTTCTACAGAAGCTGGCCAAGAGTTAAAGAAATCAAACAAGACAATCAAAATCAAACGAGACAATCAAACTAAAAGATAATCTGAACAAGTTGCGGTGTTAAATCTTATTTTCTCATCGACGATTTGAGTAAAACGTGACAAAAATGGTAAAGACTAACACAGATAGAAAGATCTCTTTGAGCTTAATATTGTTCAAAGAAATAAAGAAGAACAAGAGAGAGGACAAGAGGAGAGAATCACAGAGGAGTGAAGGAGAGACTGAGAGGGAGCGTCTGAAAACGAAGACAGAGCGAGGGAGAAAAGGAGCGTCTGAGAGAGAAAGAGAGGGGGAAGTTCAGATTATTTATAGGTGCTTACGGTTCACATTTGGAAATATTAGTATTAGGAAACAAAAATGGAAAATTTGAGGCGGTTCACTTTTTAGGGGTAAATTATATTTTGTACCCTTAAATTATTATCTTTATTTTACTTTACACCCTCAATTATAAAAAATTTTATATTATACTCAATTGCAAAAAGTCTACCACAAATTTTGTTTGGGTTTTCCGTCTCTATTGTCCAAAATATCCCAGAAATTATATCTAATTAAAATAAATTAAAAAATCCTAAAATTTATAATTTTTTTCATATTAAAATTATTTTTCTCTCTCGTATCAATTTATATACACGTATAGATTAAAAGTATTTCTCTCATATCTATCTCTATACACATATAGATTAAAATTATTTATATGTATGAGAGAGATAAATAGTAATATTACTAGATCTAATTAAAACAATTTTGAAAACTAAAATTTTTTAAATTTTATAGTTGTTCTCACATTAAAAAATTTTTCCTTTCTTTCTCATATCTATCTATACTAATTGGTTCACGCGTACGTTATATATATATATATCATTTTTTAGTTATAATTTTATTTGTTAGTGTATTTTTAGTTATAAAATTGAATAAAATAGACCAACTAAAACATCAAAAATTTTTATTTTTTTTCTTTTTTATTGGAAAACTAGTTGGACTAATATGACTTTACACATAGAGGAAACAAACAAGAATCTCTTTCA